ACTAGTGGAGGTAAATCGCAGGTTGTGCCCTTATTGGTTCCCAGGTTCCCACATGGCTTTTACTCTTTCCCCAAAGGGACCCTTCTCCATGGTTATTACATCACCAAGCTGCTCCAACCCTTCCTCTGGTTATTACATCACTTGGCTGCTCCAACCAGGAATCGAACTCCCCACACTTAGTTCCAGAGCCCCCCAATGTGATTATTCCGCCAACTTGGATGTGCCCTGAGGGGCAAAACTGTGTAGGGTAAACTTTTTAAAGTGACTGGCCCCACCGCACTGCGGCCCCATACTCCAGAAACCCCACCTCCGGCCTGGCCCTACGGGTTAGTATACACCGCTTGGCCCTACACGTATGGAGGGATTTTTTGGAGAGGCACAGTACCACCATGCTGGTAAGAGGACTCGAACACGGAACCTCAGCCAGCAAATGCCAATGTCCTTACCACTAGAGCAAATAGACATCGGCTTTTCTTTTTCTTTTTTGTATGTTTGGTGGTGGATATTGTGGTGGTTGTTTGTAGCTTGAGATGTGATGGAGTTGATTGTCGTGATTTTTGTTAGCTGTTGATTGAATCTGGTGGTGGCGATTTTGTTGGTGGTGATGTCATGGTGGTGGAAGGTGGTAGTGGTTAGGTGGTGGTCATAGATGATTACATTGTTTGTAACCAAGAAATTGGCGTATATGATCAACCATTTAGTGTGACCTAAAAATTTAATAATATTTGACCAAGTAAATGGGACTCGAAATAATCTATGACATATAAATTTTTTATTTGTGACCTCAAAATAAATTGTGACATATTAAATTTTTTACTTGTGACCTTGAAATAATATGTGACCAATTAATTTGAAAATGTGTGCCAGTAAATAAATATGTGACCTATAATTGTGAATTTGTGACCATTAATCGTGTAACTACGACTTTATTATATTTAATTAATAAATATTTTCAATAAATTATATAGATACATGAATTTTGAATTTTTAAATGACTTACTTGATTTGTGTATTTGTGTAAACAATACACCTAATTTATGAATTTTTTCCCCCAAATGTTTAGGGGGATAATTAGCACAAAATATCTTTTAACCTTTGCCACTATTATGGAATACACCATTATCCTTTCATTTTGGTGGAAAACCCTCCAATATGACCTTTTTTTTGGTGTGGGGTGTGGGGTGTGGGATGGGGAGGCGGAATACAACATTTTCTTCCATTTTCTCAATAAAGCATATTCTTCCATTTATTTCATTTGAATTCTTTGGGATCAATTAAAAAGATGCACACGTGTTTATGAAAACTTAAATATGAATATGCATTCAAACCTTACTTAAAATTAAAAGTTGAGATAATGGAACACTTTATTTGACCATCGCATATGAATTATTGTGATGAAATTTAAAAGTGACATTTTTACTTTTAAAAAAAAAAGAAGGTCTTACACCAATTTCTTTGTATTCTAGTAAGTGTAATTTTACACACTTATTGGATATATAAATAAGCTCTATACTTGATTAAATGAGCGAATTTTTAATCACAATTTGTAATTGTTGCTATTATAGGACATAACCCCCCTCCCCCCCCCCCAATTGAAGGAGAATACAGTACAAAACAAAACAAAAAGGGGGGGCGGGGGGAAGAAAAAGGGACTAAAAATGTGAAAATTTGTGAAGTTGGAGATCAAATTGTATAAGTGCAAAAAGTTAAAGGACATAGGCTGCAAATTTTGAAGGATAATCGAGAGAAAAGTAGAAATTCGAGGACCAAAAGGAAGAAAATCAAAATTGAAGGACTTGACGATCAATTTTTCTCGGACTAAACTGGACAAAAAGAAAAAGAAAGAGCCCGCGCGCACTGGACCCCCTCACATTAGCAGAAGCCAAAATGCTTCTATGACGCACACGCCATGCTAAGGTCGTTTTTGCTATTTTTGCCAAATTTTGGGAGCTTTTTGGGACATGTTTTTAGGGCATTCATAAGTTATTTTTCAGCCACTTTCGCACCATTTTCTACATTTTTTGTTTATTATTCTTTCTCTCATTTTACATTCACATTTTGGGGAGAAAAAAGGCCAAGAACAAGGGCAGAAAGGAGGAGAAGAAACTCAAAGAGTTGAGAGATTTTGGAACAAAATCAATACATGCCATGCTCATTTCAAGTCCAACTGAATAGAGGGTTTTAGATTTTGTATTGTATTTTATCCATTATTCTCTCTAAAAGCTTTCAATGTATTTTCAAATCTTCTCTCTTTTATTTTAGGAAAAATTTGATAAGTAAGAGATTAAGCATGACATATTTTAAAAATAAGAAAATAAGTTTCAAATTTTAAAAATCAGATTTTTATTAAAATTTATTTATTGTCAAACTACTTAATTAAATATATTTAAGTCACACATTTATACAATTTGATCACAAATTAACAATTTAGTTAGTCACTTATTATTTTTTGATCACAAATCATAAATTTTATGTCACAAATTATTTTACGATCATAATTCAAAAAATTTGTAGACCACAATTTGTTCATTGGTCACAAATAAAAAAATTAATTAGTTACGAAATAATTTTTAGTCACAATTTATCAAATTATTGGTCACGACTTATTTTTGGATCATAAATCAAAAAATTTAAGGTCACAAATTGTGTTTATAGTCACAATTCAAAAAATTTGTATGTCACAATTTGTTTGTCGATCACAACTAAAAAATTTATACGTCAAGTTATTTATAAGTCAAAGATCACAAATATTATAAATCACATATTATTATTTTTTGGGTCACAGACTATTCTCGATCACAATTTATCTTTTTTAGTGGTCACATATTGTTTATTGGTCACAGGTTAACCAATTTAATGGTCACTATCAATAAAATAATCTGTGACCACCACCAATCCACCACCACCTCCAACAGCAGCACCACCACCACCACCATCGACAGCAACACCACCGTCTCAAACAAAAAATCGACTCTAACATTATCACCGCCACCGCCACAGCCACACCAACACTACTGTCATCGTCACAGCGCCACAACCATCACTACTACCATCTCACCATCACGGCAGACCAACCACAGAACCCCACAAAATCTACCACACAATCACAAATCTACCATGCCGCCCCATTCACTGCGTGAGCAACCACTGTTCCCACCACAACTCCGCACGCCTCCACCACCATCGCACATCACCACTCACCCAACTACCACATCATCACCGCACCTATAACAACCTAGTACAACAATACCCTATTACCATCGCAATCCACACTACACCACCACCCCCCCCCAACGAAACCATTGCATTTTCCCACTCCACCGCTTCACATCGTTGCCCTTCCAAATTCACCACCGTCGTGCAATCAACCCCTGTAGCACCTCCACTACTTCACAATGCGACGAATAGAGAGGCTGGACTGTTACAGATCGCTTCAGCCATTAGTGCGAAGGACCTACACCAACCATATCTTCACATCGCGATGAGGCTAGATTGGTATATCACCGGAGCTTGTAGCCTGGATAAGGGTTGATGTAGAGAGAGAGAGAGATACGACGGCGTCTTGGGGTAGAGAGAGAATGAAGAAATGTTTATAAAGATGATTAGGGTTTGTAATGTGTATATAATGGAGTATATTAGTAAAATATTTATTTTATAAAAATATTGATTAAAATAATATTTTTGATTATTGAAATATGAAACTTTGAATTTGATTTTACAAGGTTGAATAATTAAAGTATGATTTTGTGTAATTTCCACTTTATTTTATGTATAAAGTGGGCTAAGTTCTTGATGGGATGATTGATTTAGCTTAACCTAGCTTTTTTTTATTCCAGCACTGCTCTTTGATATTAAAATACTTATTTTCACATGTATTTACTATTGTATTTCATGTTATTTCATTTATTTGGCCAATAAATGTTTGTGTTAAGTGATTTGTGCATCTCTTGATAGAAGATTGTATATTTTAGACCAAAGAGTGGATACTTTAGGTTTTTGTTGGGAATAGAAACATACTCTTAACCTTAAATGACACATTGAGCTATTTCAAAAGCTAATGTTTGTGTTTTAATCGATATAAAGATATAATAATTTCAACTGATCAATTAGGGTTAATTTCATTCAAGAGAAATAATTGGCTAAAATTGAAAATTTGGGTCTAACATAATTTACTTGTAAAGAAATTAGTTAAGTGTCGATTAAATGAAATCATGAATCCCAACTACTTTATTCTCCCAATTCTCCACTTTAAGATTTGTTCGTTTTATAAGGTTTTTAGTTAT